CCAATCCAAGATCCGGGGGGCCAGGTGGGGGGCTGCAGGACAGCCCTAAGGACTGGTGTATTACAGCCACCGATGCCACAGCTAGGGCCACACTGCTCACATATGCCATAGTTAATAGGCAGGACAGCTGCAGGACAGAAGATATGAAAGGTCAACGCAAAATACGCTTCCCCTAAAACCTGCTTCTGACTGTTATTAACACACCCACCCTTTGTCTCTAGAGGTCCAAGTCAGAGCTCTCTGTCACCATCTACCCCTCCAAACCCCATCTCCTGAGCCACCATCTACCCCCAAACCCCATCTCCTGAGCCTTTCAGCATTTGATTTACATCATTGCACCCACACAGCAGCCCACTCAAGCCTCCTATCCTTTCTGAACCTTCCTCACCTTTGCCAACTGCTGGCAGAGGGAGCCCAGGACCAGTTGCCAGGTCGGCTGCTCCAGTAGCACACACAGGTCTGTGTAGGTGTACCAGCCCCGTCGCCGTCCCTGCTGCTCAGCCACACTATTAGGGAGAAATGACAGAGTGAGTCTGCAACCCTCCTGCAGCCAGCCCAATTAAACCTACCAGGGAACACTGGGGAACTACTGGGTTGTCGGAAAAGTCATGATGCATTTTTGCAACAAAAAACATGGAAAAAATACATCATGACTTTTCCGACATCCCAATGGTTAAACATACAGATTCCTAGTGCTTGTTGATCTAGAAACTGAGGATGAGACCAAGATCTGTATTTTTGATAAGCTTTCCCCCCCCCCCTCCCAAAGGTGATTACACAGGGCAGGCATATTTGGGAACCACTACCTTGGGCTAGTCTCTTTCCTGTCTCTGCCCTCCCCCTCATATACAGCCCTCATCCCTGTCTAGCTCCTATGGCTTAGGCCTCAGCCCCCAAATCCCTCAAGCCCCTCTTCCCAACTCCTAGAACCTACCAGCTCTCTAGCCAGCTCAGCACCTCAAAGATCTCCCGAGGGTCAGTGTAGAGACGCCAATCCTGTGGGTATGAAGAGAAGGGCACCAAACCAGGCTCAGACATGAGCCACAGTCATTCAATAATGTAGTTGCTGTAGCAGCAACTACAGCCGCCACTACTGGTAACATCTACTTGGCCCTATGTGCCCGAGAGTGTTCCAAGAGCTTTTGTGTATTAACTCATTTAATCATCACATACCTGGTTTCACATTACACCCTCCATTAAGGGCAAGGGGAGGAAATAATCCTGCAAATGATCCATGCCCATAGGGAGCTCAGAATCTAGGGACAGAGAAAGTCTGGAAGCAAATAATCAGAACGCAGTAAGACAAGCTCTGACTCAGAGTGTATCCTGTTGGGCCTGGAGGAATGGGGGACCAGCTGTGCTCCATTTCTGGCCCCAGTACACCAGGAACCTCCAAAGGCTGTGGTTAGAACAGAGGGCCAGGAAGGGAAGATACTAATAATAAGGAAAGACACAAGGCGGACAGGCAGAAAGAGAAACGAAGAAACAACAGAAGGCTGAGAGAAAAAAAAAAAAACATAAAATGGGCCAAGGAAACAGAGCAAGTGAGAGAACAGCTATTCACCATGGCACTCAAGAAGCCCCTCTCCAGGGCATTGAGGGTGGGCACGGCCACGCCACCTGCAGCTCCCCATTCATCATTGAAGACCTCCTCCTCCTCCCCTTCATCATAGAGGTACTTACTGGCCACCATCTGCAGAGAAGCCAGAGATGATGTCAGTTGAGTTCACACCTGGCTCCTGGCTCACCAGAGAGATGACGGGAAAGGGGCATCTTACCATAGAAATCAGGAACAAGTCAGAGGAGGACACATGCTGTAGGTAATCTGGGTTTCGGTGCCGGAGCCGTTCAATGTACACCAGAGCTAGCATCATAGCACACGGGGAAATGCATGCCTCCCTGTGGGTGGTGGAAAGGATCAGTAATTAAACCCAACGGCCTTTCAGCTCTTGGAAAACTAACTCTTATGATGCATCCCTGTATCTTTACATCTTCTCTTCAGAGATAACCATTCCCTTCTCTCTAGGGTCCAAACACTCTCATGCTGTTTCCCTCAATTCCAAGCTCACCGGGATACATGGGCTACATATTTCTTCTGGAGTCTGCGAATAGGGCTGGGGGCTGCTTTCTGGAGCAGTTCCACAGCAATGTCTGCAGGGGGCAGAAGGAAGGCAGAGTAAGCAAACAACTCCCCCATTCCCAAACACACACACACACACACACACACACACACACACACACACACACACACGGCCCCAATGCTGTCAGGGAAGACCCAGATCTATATTATCTGAGGCTTCTGAGCCAATGCCTTAGTAACAAAATTGAGATCAAATTCTCCCACACAGACAAAAAGCCCATCCCAAGTTTGAATCAGCTTCTTCCAGCAGGAAGGCTCATTTCCCTGTCATCTAAAGTAATTTAAATTTGTCTTCCACTCTTGTTCACTGGGAAATAAACATGCCTTGTTTATTTGGGAAACATATGAATATTCTTGGAAAGTTAAGAGCTTCTGGTACACAAATCAAGAGTGCTATTGACTTGTAAGGTAACAATGTATTTTCTACTTCTTTGAGCTAAGAAAAAAAAAAAAAGTGAAATATAAACCCAGTTCTTATACCAAGTACCAGTGAGCTAGGTAGCTGAAAAGACAGGGCAGCTGATGGGGTACACCTAGAGTCATTTTGGTGCCTGCTGACAACCCCATTTTCATGCTTCTCACTTGCTCAGTCACACAACATTGTCTAACCTGCCATGGGGCTGGAGAGCTCCTCCAGGTTACAATCAGCTTCCCAGTCCCAGCCATAATAGAGTCTCCTTCGGATCCGGGCACTCAGCTTCTGGTGTCCTGGGAGGAACTGAAACAGGACAGGAGAGGGGTGAAGGGTGAAGGGCAGGGAAGAGTATGACGGAGAACCTGGCTCCAAGCTAGAAGGGGGTGCGGGGCAGCAGGACCGCCTCACAGCTAGTGTGGGTCGCGTGCCCCACCTAGCCCCACGTTCTCTGGATTGTTTGCCAATGGCAGCTTGTCCACAAGAGGTGTAATCCTCCTCCTCTGAGGGTTCTCCAGGAGATTCTCCGACAAGGACCCCGGCTGGCCTCCCCCACAGCCCATGGTGTACCCTGAGGCTCTCCCCCAAGGCCTAAGCAGCCGGGGCCTCGAGTACGCAAGGCTCGAGCGGCTGCCTCCCAGCTCCCGGGCAGATCGTCAGGCGAGCTCGCGGCCGCGCTTGGCCCAGAGTCCCGGATCCAGGCGCGAGGAGGCCGGGGAGGGGGAGGGCCGCGAGCTCACCGAGAAGTCCTGGAAGCCGGTGAGGGAGAAGGTGCCTTCTTCGTCCAGCAGGAGCCCGGCTAGGTCCATTGCGCNAACAGTCCAGGCCATGCAACTGAAACTGTTTATTGAAATCTCAGTTCTACAAAAGCTTGAAAAACCCAGATACAAAGCGGCAGCCAGGGAGGCCTGTGAAAAGAACACCCAGGGTAGGAACCGGCAGAGAGGGAAGCCCAGGAGCAGGGTACTAAGAGAAGGTTGGAAGACGAAAGGGCAAGGTTGAAGGTCCCAGCAGCCCCTGGCTCCTTCAGACTACATCCAAGGGATGCGAGTGGAGGGGGCTTCCCGCCTTACCCCGCCTTGCCTCAGCAGCTCCCACCTTGGCCCTGTCAATCCCTGGCTTTCCTGCTTCAGGGACATCACACAGACCCTGGTCAGCCTTTCCTCCCTCCCTCTTCCCTCTCCTATCTTTACCCTTCCATTCCAGGGAAGTCAAAAGCAAAAGTCTAGAAGAACCCAGGGGAGGTTAAGAGACGGGAGCTTCTCCTCTGTCCACCTGTGACAAGCCCCTGGTCACTGAGTTGAAGCTTTCCGTGGCACCATCACTGCTCTGGCCAAGCAGCCAGACACTGAGGTCTAGGAGAGCAAGTGACCTTCAGTCCTTCTGCCCCATAACCCCTTAAGCTCCCTCACCCAGGAGAACAGCGACCAACCAAGGACCCAGAGAGGTAGAGAGGATCTAAATCAAGCATTGCACCTCCAGGTTCTCAGGGACTCCTCCGTCCTCTTAATGCATTCCTCAGAGAGCTGCCTTAGCCTGGGAAAATGAAAGACTTGAGGCGGGCCAGCTCCATGGTGCTGAAGAGGGAGCACTGCTGAGGCTGTGGGAGCAGAGGGGGCACTGGGCTCCAGGACCAGGGTGGGACCAAGCCATGGGAGTGGTACCAGGGGCTGGGGGGCCCAGCGGGTACCGTATGGTTGGGATGATGGCAGGCACGGCAGGTTGGGGAGTCCTTCTGGAGCTTCAGGCAAAGGGGACAGTTATGGAGAAGAGTTGGAGGGGCAGGAGGATCTGGGGGAGGCAATGGTGGGGGAGTCAGTGAAGCCAGAAGGCTGCCCCCAAGTGAACGCAGCCCTGCGTCGCCTTCCAGGCAGCTGGAGACATTAGCAGGAGATGGCAGGCACTGTGTCACAGGAGAAGGTACGCAGGGTTCCAAGAGGCACCTGGAGGCCAATCCAAGATCCGGGGGGCCAGGTGGGGGGCTGCAGGACAGCCCTAAGGACTGGTGTATTACAGCCACCGATGCCACAGCTAGGGCCACACTGCTCACATATGCCATAGTTAATAGGCAGGACAGCTGCAGGACAGAAGATATGAAAGGTCAACGCAAAATACGCTTCCCCTAAAACCTGCTTCTGACTGTTATTAACACACCCACCCTTTGTCTCTAGAGGTCCAAGTCAGAGCTCTCTGTCACCATCTACCCCTCCAAACCCCATCTCCTGAGCCACCATCTACCCCCAAACCCCATCTCCTGAGCCTTTCAGCATTTGATTTACATCATTGCACCCACACAGCAGCCCACTCAAGCCTCCTATCCTTTCTGAACCTTCCTCACCTTTGCCAACTGCTGGCAGAGGGAGCCCAGGACCAGTTGCCAGGTCGGCTGCTCCAGTAGCACACACAGGTCTGTGTAGGTGTACCAGCCCCGTCGCCGTCCCTGCTGCTCAGCCACACTATTAGGGAGAAATGACAGAGTGAGTCTGCAACCCTCCTGCAGCCAGCCCAATTAAACCTACCAGGGAACACTGGGGAACTACTGGGTTGTCGGAAAAGTCATGATGCATTTTTGCAACAAAAAACATGGAAAAAATACATCATGACTTTTCCGACATCCCAATGGTTAAACATACAGATTCCTAGTGCTTGTTGATCTAGAAACTGAGGATGAGACCAAGATCTGTATTTTTGATAAGCTTTCCCCCCCCCCCTCCCAAAGGTGATTACACAGGGCAGGCATATTTGGGAACCACTACCTTGGGCTAGTCTCTTTCCTGTCTCTGCCCTCCCCCTCATATACAGCCCTCATCCCTGTCTAGCTCCTATGGCTTAGGCCTCAGCCCCCAAATCCCTCAAGCCCCTCTTCCCAACTCCTAGAACCTACCAGCTCTCTAACCAGCTCAGCACCTCAAAGATCTCCCGAGGGTCAGTGTAGAGACGCCAATCCTGTGGGTATGAAGAGAAGGGCACCAAACCAGGCTCAGACATGAGCCACAGTCATTCAATAATGTAGTTGCTGTAGCAGCAACTACAGCCGCCACTACTGGTAACATCTACTTGGCCCTATGTGCCCGAGAGTGTTCCAAGAGCTTTTGTGTATTAACTCATTTAATCATCACATACCTGGTTTCACATTACACCCTCCATTAAGGGCAAGGGGAGGAAATAATCCTGCAAATGATCCATGCCCATAGGGAGCTCAGAATCTAGGGACAGAGAAAGTCTGGAAGCAAATAATCAGAACGCAGTAAGACAAGCTCTGACTCAGAGTGTATCCTGTTGGGCCTGGAGGAATGGGGGACCAGCTGTGCTCCATTTCTGGCCCCAGTACACCAGGAACCTCCAAAGGCTGTGGTTAGAACAGAGGGCCAGGAAGGGAAGATACTAATAATAAGGAAAGACACAAGGCGGACAGGCAGAAAGAGAAACGAAGAAACAACAGAAGGCTGAGAGAAAAAAAAAAAAACATAAAATGGGCCAAGGAAACAGAGCAAGTGAGAGAACAGCTATTCACCATGGCACTCAAGAAGCCCCTCTCCAGGGCATTGAGGGTGGGCACGGCCACGCC